AGCTGTGTGTTGATTGAGTTGTGATGATGAGTTGTTGATTACTAGGATTAGGGGAGATGTTTTCAAAGTTACTCATCCCATTGTGCAGATTGAGATAGTTGTGGTGCTTTAAGAGCCTAATTTGTTGAAAACCCTCCTCGGGAAGTTGTATCTTAGAGTGGATGATATGTTGTCCTTCCCTAGGACTTAGTTGGTCCCGTGTGTGGGTAAGGTCGAGGCAGACGTGTACAAAGTGACCACGGTATAGGGGTTAGGTCGAGCTATACAGATTACAGGCAGTCACTTCGAGTAAAGTACGAAGTCAGGAACTTAGTTCCTAACCGAGTATCAGAGGGTTGTAGTATTTAGAGGATAGTCAGTAGGCTAATCCCATAGGTGGCTTAGTTGAGCTAGCTAATGTCGTGGTAGGCCTAAACCTAGTTGTCTTATCCTGATATAGTACTATACTTCCTTGTTTAAGTGACAAAGTCTGAGAAACTGTTACCGTGTTGTGGATTGTTATCCAAATTTTTTGATTACCTAGCAAGCCCAAAAGGGTTTTGTGTTGTTGGTTCGGTAGGACCTAGCCACTTACACTGCTCACCTGTGTTGTAGGAGATCTGCGAGTTGAAATGCGTGACAACGCATATGTGTTGATGAGTTGAACATGGGTTGATGTGAAGATAAAATGTTGTTATGTGATGATGTGTTGATGTGATGATAACGTGTGGTTATGTGATGATGTGTTAATGTGTGGTTATGTGATGATGTGTTGTAAGTTGTAGAAAATATGAGTAATATAATAGTTGTTTGTTGTTTGCGTTGAATGTGATGATGATGAACCATAAGTTGTTGTGTTGTATATATATATACTATGTGTTGTTTATTTTACCTAGCTTACCCTTGCATGTTTCCATGTGGTTTGGACTGCGATGATCATACATTGTATGAGAGCATGATAGGGATAGGCTGGCATGTTGAAGATAGAGGCCACCTAGTGGCGGGAGTTGGAGATACTTATATTTTGTAGACTATCCTTAGGGGTAGAATATCTTGTAGTTAGTTTTCAATATATATATTTATAGCATGTTGGGCCATCTGTGTGGTATATATGTTTATATTTTTGTACATTACTGTTTTAGTATATGTATATGCATAATTAATTGTATGTTGTGCAGTGTGGCTGCCATGACAGATCGTTACAAACTATGCCTCCAACAATTTGTACTAGGAAATATTTTATTCCCCCTTTAATTATAGGCGGGCTGTTTTAATATATAATTATTCCTAAATTAATACTTATTGTAAATCAAAAGTCTTAAAGAAAAATATTTGCACTTATCATCCTAAAAAAATAGTGTAAATTACGTTGAAACATTTTTATTTATTTAGAGGAATTATAAAGCTGACCACATAATTCAAACATAAAATTCTGTATATATTATTAAAACCTTTTACTACTAGTCAAGTTTCAAGGTTTCATTAGATTTCTTTTCCTACTCTTACTATTTTTGTTGTCAATTATTTAAAAGATATTACACAAACTTAATTATTTGAGAATATTATATTACAAGATTATTATAAACATTTAAAATGTTATTATAATTCACTTTAAAAATTAATCTTAAAAATAGTTGATTACAAGTTAAACAAAATATGTATAAAAAATGTTTTAAATAGAAATATTTTAATATAAAAAATAACAATTATTAATAATAATAATTAGATCAAAATAAACAACTCAAATTAAAAAGGTTATAAATAGAATCATCACGTATCATTATTATTATATTTATCTCTATTATTATTATTATTATTATTATTAATATTAGTCTATTATCATTATTATCAATGACAATTTATAATAATAATAATAATTATTATAATAATAATTTTAATAAAACAAATAATAATTTTAGTACTTGATGATCTTATTTATACTCTTTTAATTTAAATAATTTATTTTAATCTTATAATTGATATCAATAACTATTTTTTTATACGTAGAAGTTTCTCATATCAAAAACATTCTGTATATAAAACTTGTATAAGTAAAAAATAAATGTATCCTTTACATGATTTTAATTAAAACGAATCTTATTGAATTTCACATCACTTAAATTTCTTAATTTATTGCGTAGTGGTGTCTAGTTAATGAGTCATGATCACAGCACACTTGGCTCAAACTTAAAATGCCGACACTTTAATTGAATTTCCACCAACCTTATCACCATCCCTCTTATTCATTTTTTAGCCATCCATTTTTCACGGATCTTGATTTTCTCACGTAATATTTTTATTCAGTAAAATCATAATATTAAATTAAAAAAAAATATAAATAACAAAAAATATGAAATTTTAAATTTTTATTAGTAAAGATTTTTGTTAAAAAAAATTTAAGTGAAAATGTTATGTACGATTTTTCATTTCCTTTATTTAGTATGTTTTTTTTTTTGTTTCTTTCCCTCTTTTTTCAAACAAACCACATCAAAATGATGATTGCATTGGAGCATGGATCTCATCGCATAAAAAACAACATCCTTGTTAATATAGATATCGTCATCACGAGATCGTGTTCCACCGATGAAAGCGATCAACCTATATTTCGAAGCCCATCTTTACTATTTTCTTCTTTTTATACACTTAAAATATCTCTTCAAAGACGAGAGAAAAATATCTCACTGCTTATCTTTTACACTGTGCTTAGTGAGTTTAATTAGCCAGCATTTGAGAGGAGAGTGGATTGTAGGGTATTTAAAAAAAAATGTATGTTTAAGAGACTGGATTTGAGTGTAATTGTGAGAAAATATTTGTGGATCTCATACTTTAAAGAAGTATCCTCTTATATGGAGGATTATTGTGAAATTTGACTGATCAGCAATTCTACTCTGTCTTTTTGTTATCCATAATAATACCTCAATGTATAATTTGTTTGACTTTAAATATAACTGATTATAATGTTGATACTCATTTATATCAATTAGCATAATTAAATATCTACATCATAATCATATATAATTCCAAGTTAAATGAATCATGACTGATTATGTTTACTTTTTGTTACTTGATATTCAATTATCCTAGATATTTGATTATTTTATAATTTTCTTCTTCATATTCAATCATCCTTATCATATTCCAACCTGATATAATTGTAATATATTATAAACATTAAAAAAAAATAACAACAAAATGGTAATTTTATATATTATTTTTTTTAATAAAAATTTAAATTAATAAAATATAATTTTAAAATACTAATTTTTATTTATATTTTATTTAATTACACTCTATCAATCAACTATAAATTTCACTATATTTTTTTTATATTTTCTATCAAATTAATTCTCACTAATTTCCATCCATTTTTATCAATTGTTCTTCCTCTTCCAACCAAAGTGTTAAGGAATTGGGATACAACAAAATGCAAGTACATGTGTAGAAAACAAAAGTTAATAACAGAATTGCACGAGACCATTGGGCTATGGTTTTTTAATTTAGAAGACCATTGGGCTAGTTAGTGCACAACAACTTGTCTTGGATAATTGCTTCCTGCACCCTAAACGAGATGTTCTCGTTCTTCACTATGGAAGAATAAGTTGCACAACGAAGAAGAGCTACGATTGGAGTAGAGAGGCCTATCTAGCCCACTCGTTCACTTGCTCCAACCCTGCCTGCTTCACTCAACTGGTAAGATAGATAACTATAACTATATGTATACCATTTACATAGAGAGAATAAGAAAATGGATTAAGTTACTCTTAATTATTTCAAGAATAATTCTATTTTTTTTTATCTTAATTCAAAGATAATCTATTTGTTAGAATTATTAGATTAAAAGAAAATGAAGGATAAGATCAAAGAGTATAAAGTTATTTTTGAAATAATTTGACTTCTTCTTTCTCTCTCACTCAAAAATAATTTATAAAAAAAAAATAGGTTCTCCACTTGAGGACAACATCACTTATACAAAATCCAGAAAAAGTAAGTAATATTGGAGTTGGATGCACTAATATTAATCTGGTAGGCAGTTTTAACATCAACAATATGATATTATGTATCACTTTATAACCTAGTTTTTAATAATAAAAAAATATTACTTGACATGGGTATCGTTGGATTGATCAATGATATCCATAATTAACTGCCCCAAAGTGATAATAAGTTTGAAAATAATTTCATTCCTATAATATATTTTCATAATAACCTTAGTTAGGACAAAAAGCCAAGAATCACAACCTAAAAATTACAAAAGGAATATTAGCATTACCACCAACCAACCAACCATGATTTCGCAAAAATATTTCCTTAAATTAAGTTTAACATAATAGAAAATGTCTAATAAAAAAACTAAAGAACTAAAATTTGATTATAATATTTAAAATTTTTATTATATAATTGATGATATCATATCTAATGGCTAAATCCAAAAGGAATAAAGAGAAGTAGACCAAACTTAAAAGAAGAAATTCCTAATCCTTATTGAGCTTTGGATAATTTTAGTAGATTATTTTATCTTCTATTTGTCGATTTTTCTTATATAGTTTTTTTTAACCTTATAATTTGGTTAAGTAGTATAAATTTTTTTGTCCTTATATTATTTTTCCTTAATGGTGTATTTAGTGGTTTTTAAGAGGCATAACCATCTAAAATCATGATAGACTTATTGATTTTGGATGACATAAATCTTTTTATGGTCCATGAGTTTGAATGTCCACTTATTTATGCAAATGGTTTAGATATCTAAACCAAGTTAATTTTGTCATTCAAATTGTTAATTAAGTCACTCAATAACTTGTTAAAAGTAATTATTATTTTAGTAATTGTAATGATTAATTTAGATAGTTAAAATTAATTTAAACTAACCTAGATTATTCTTAAACTAGAATTAGATTAATTTATTTTATAAACTTCTAAACAATTAATTAATTAAAATTAGTTAACTTAAACATAAAATAACTATTCATAATTATACTTACTCATAATTAATATAGTTTTTATTGCAAGTCAACCAAATGCATTATTTTCTACATGTAATATGCAAATTTACTTTGAGATATATGAAATAAACACCTTTCAATTTTTATTTCCTAAAATCTTAGTTTCCTCCATAAAGAAATCTATCCTTTAATCTTTTATCAAAGAGCTTTTTCTTGTGCGAAGATTCTCCCCTCAAACTTTCATCCTTAAGTGTAACACATTATTCCTTGTCTTCTACCACCATCTTGTGACTTTCGAAAGCTTATTGCATCCATACTAGTGAAAAGATCCACCATAACTCTAATAATTTTCATCAATAATCTAGAACTGAAAATCACCTAAACTATGTTAGAATTTCAAAGGTTGATTTCATTCGATTATTCCCATCTTATAATTAAAAGAACCCTAAAAATGACCTATCACACTTGATAAATTTTGTCCCCAGAAAAAAAAAAAACTAAAAACCAGAGTGAACTTACCTCTCTTGAATTGATGATGGCACACACAGCAGCATTGTTTCAGTTACCAATCCCCAGACAGTGACATCAACCTGAGCATGTGTGGGATGTTCCAGGCCCTGTCCCAATGCCTAACCTCCCCCACGGCGTCCCTGCGCCACGCGAAGCAAGCCCACGCCGTCCTCCTCCGCCTCAACCTATTCTCCGACACCCACCTCACCACAGCCCTCATCTCTCTCTACGCCAACACTTTCTCTCTCTCCAGCCCCCAACTCCACCTCATCCTCGCCACCCTCCCCAACCCCACCCTCTTCTCCTTCTCCTCTCTCATCCACGCCCTCGCCCGCTCCTCCCACTCCCCCCTCGTCCTCGCCGCTTTCTCCCACCTCCCCTCCCGCCGCCTCGCCCCCGACGCCTTCCTCCTCCCCTCCGCCATCAAGGCCTCCGCCACCCTCCGCGCCCTCCGCCCCGGCCAGCAGCTCCACGCCTTCGCCGCCGCCTCCGCCCTCGCGTCCGACTCCGTCGTCGCCTCCTCCCTCATCCACATGTACCTCAAGTGCCACCAACTCTCTCACGCCCGCCAACTGTTCGACACAATGCCCCACCGAGACGTCGTCGTCTGGAGCGCCATCATCGCCGGCTACTCCCGCCTTGGCCTCCTAGACGAGGCCAAGAACCTCTTTTGCGCCATGAGGGATCATGGGGTGGACCCCAATTTGGTGACGTGGAACGGCATGCTTGCTGGGTTCGGTAACAGCGGCTTGCACGGTGAGGCCGTGGCCATGTTCCGCGTGATGCTGGTGGAAGGATTTTTCCCTGACGGCAGCACTGTCTCCTGCGTGCTTCCCTCTGTGGGGTGCTTGGAGGATACGGTAATGGGTAAGCAGGTTCATGGCTATGTCATCAAGCAAGGTTTTGGGTGTGATAGGTTTGTGGTTAGTGCAATGCTTGACATGTATGGGAAATGTGGCTGTGTGGAGGCGATGGGGCAGGTGTTTGATGAGGTCGAGGAAATTGAAGTTGGTTCTTTGAACGCTTTTCTCACTGGCTTGTCGCGGAATGGCTTGGTTGAGGAGGCGTTGGAGGTGTTTAGGAGGTTCAAGGAGAGTGGGATGGAGATGAATGTTGTCACGTGGACGTCGGTGATTGCTAGCTGTTCGCAGAACGGGAGGGATTTGGAGGCGTTGGAGCTTTTTAGAGATATGCAGGCTGATGGGGTGGAGCCTAATGCTGTGACCATCCCCAGCTTGATTCCTGCTTGTGGGAATGTTTCGGCGTTGACGCAGGGGAAGGAGATTCATTGCTTTTCTCTCAGAAAGGGTATTTTTGATGATGTGTATGTAGGTAGTGCTTTGATTGATATGTATGCGAAGTGTGGGAGGATTCAATTGTCACGGCATTGTTTCGATAGGATGTCGGCCCCAAATTTGGTTTCGTGGAATGCTGTTATGAGTGGGTATGCGATGCACGGGAAGGCTAAGGAGACAATGGAGATGTTTCATTTGATGCAGCAGAGTGGCCAGAAGCCTGACTCTATTACATTTACGTGTGTGTTGTCTGCGTGTGCGCAAAATGGCCTGACTGAGGAAGGGTGGCGTTATTATAATAGTATGTCTGAAGAATATGGTGTTGAGCCTAGAATGGAACATTATGCTTGCATGGTGACACTTCTCAGCCGTGTTGGAAAACTTGAAGAAGCTTACTCTATCATTAAGGAAATGCCGGTTGAGCCTGATGCTTGTGTATGGGGGGCCTTGCTGAGTTCTTGTAGAGTTCACAATAATTTGGGTTTAGGTGAGATTGCTGCGGAGAAGCTTTTCCTTTTGGAACCAGCCAACCCTGGGAACTACATTCTTCTGTCCAATATCTATGCTTCAAAGGGCATGTGGGGTGAAGAAAATAGAATGCGTGAAGTGATGAAAAGTAAGGGATTGAGGAAAAACCCTGGCTATAGTTGGATTGAAGTTGGACACAAAGTACACACGCTTCTTGCTGGTGACCAATCACATCCACAAATGAAAGAGATTTTGGAGAAGTTGGATAAATTGAATATGGAGATGAAGAAGTCTGGTTACCTCCCTAAGACTAACTTTGTGCTGCAAGATGTGGAGGAACAGGATAAGGAGCAGATATTGTGTGGGCACAGTGAAAAATTGGCAGTAGTATTAGGACTACTCAACACAAGTCCAGGACAACCTCTTCAAGTGATTAAGAATCTGAGAATCTGTGATGACTGCCATGCTGTGATAAAAGTAATAAGCAGATTGGAAGGAAGAGAAATTCATGTAAGGGACACGAATCGTTTTCACCATTTCAAAGATGGTGTTTGTTCTTGTGGAGATTTTTGGTAAATTGCTCACGGTTTTCTGGGGACTTATCTTCAAGAGGAATTCTCTGCCATGGTCCTTCAATAGATCAGAAAACGGATAATAATCAAGATTATTTGCTTTGACAAGAATTTGGTGCCATGGAGTTTAAAATCTCGAGAATGAAGATATGTGTGCTTCATCTTTTGGTGACAGACAGCTTAATAATTCTTGGTGGCTCCAGTCGTTTTCAGTTTGGTAAACTTTTCTCTTCACTTCCATTTGTTCTTGTAATCAAGATTTATAGCTGCCTGCCTGATGGAAGAAGGGAGACAACTTTCAGGTCTATGCGACTATGCGAGAAGAAAACTTTGCCTAATTATATTATTTTCTATTATCTGAAGCCTTTTAATGGTTGAGACTTGAGAATAAACTTGAGTATCTGTGAAGCAGTTGACATGTTAGAGTAGATGGTTCTCTTCCTTTGACACTGTCCTTTTCAAGATCTGATAGGCTGTAATCAGCATGATTGAGGAACCGGGTGACGACGAAGAATTCCGAGAAAACTATACATTGAACTGCCAAACTACCTACTTTCTGGCTCTTTCCATCAACCATTTTGTGGCTAACAGATCATCTATAATGTTTCCTGAACACTCATGGCCAGATTATGTAGATTTTCCTTTACAAGGGTCACCATGTCCATGTTAGTGGTAGATACCTGATTTCACATCAGTTAGTAGATTCAAAGCCAAGTTCATTTGTGATACTTCTCATCAGAGCCTCCAAACCTTCCAGAAGTTTTTTCTCTGGAGCAGAGCATGTATTTCTTCTGATTACATTTCATTTATCATATTGGACTAACTTTTTTTTATCATAATAAATGTTGCTTCTTTAACTGTGACGTTTATGTGGGTATGTATGAAGGCACCGTTTAAGGATGTCTCATGAATTTAAGAGACGTGATTCTTTGGTTCTGCTGCGTGACATTGTGAATATAGGGATTCTCCAATTGGAGAAGCATCAATTAGCAATTTCTAGAGATGTTTTTCATTTGTTGCCGAATCTTTTCAATTGATTGTCTGCAATTATCGTCATTAAGAGGTTCATTAGTAACACACTACGCTCAACTTTTACTAGATTCCTCGGAGAGAATCATGCATTCAAGAAGAATACCAGCTTCTCAGCAGTTTGCCTCATGTTTTATTTTGAACCAAGGAAAATGAGCCTTTCTTAGATCGATACTTAGTTCTGATTTATGTCTTTCTCATTAAAATTTCAGAAGCCCCTATAACATGAGATGGAGCTAAAAGTAAACGACCAAGAATATTTTTTTAACTTGTACAAACTATGAAAACATTACGTTCTTAATATCACTTATTTACTTTCCTAAAATCCAAAGGGGTTTGGTCTAGTGGAAGCATGCTAGGTTTTCAAGATATGAGTGAATATGAGGATATTCTAAAAGGATGTCCTTGGCTTGATTTCTGCCGAAAAAATCCTCTTGGAAAGGGGATTTACTCATGTTGCATTGACTCCGAAATTGTAGAAGTTCTCTCCACTTATTAAAAAAAATGTACCAAAAAACAAATCACTTTTGTAAAAATAAAATTAGGAACTTTGAAACAAACACAATCTAAAAGGAAACATGGATTTTTTTTTGTCCCTATATCAAACTTAAGATCATCCGGTATTGAATCAAAGTTGAAATATTCATATAACTTAATACGACGATCTTAATTTTTTACAGCTTTACTTAGAAAGTTAATTAGTTAGTAATGAAAAAAAGCTAACAAAGTAATATAAAATTCCAAATTAAGATGAACATGTAATAAACTTAAACAGATATTTTGTAAAAAACAATATTATTACTTAACCAAATTATTTGTATATTCTGTCACAAAATATATATATCATATATGAAGATATTACTTGATATAATATAATAATTTGTATAGTGGCTTATCAAACATTACATGGTTTAATTATTATTATTTTTATATCAGAATTCATCCTGTTTTGCATGCCAAATTGGCCATTGTAACTTAGTTGAAAAAAGGTAGATTAATTGTAATCGGAGTCAGTGGCCTGTTGTGGGTGAGGCTCTTTGTAGGCTGGTAAAGGAAAATTTTCAGGATCCTCAAAAGGTTAGTGAGGTAAATGATACTCTTATTATCCTTATTCCCAAGATGAATAATGTGACGAAGTTGAAAGATTTTAGGCCCAATGTTTCATGTCAAGTCATTACAATGAGCTTGGCTTATAGATTGAGACATCTGATAGAGTCACTAGTGAGTCCCTGTCAGTGTAGCTTCATTTCCAACTGTCAAATTAGTGATAACATAGCTCAGGAGGTTTTTCATTCCATGCGGAATAAAAAGGGTGTTAAAGGTTGGATGGCAAATTAAGATTGACTTTAATAAGGCTTATGATAGGTTGAATTGTAACTTTATCGTGGGGATCTTAGTTGATATTGGTTGCCGAGGTAATTTTATTAATATGATTTGGCATTGCCTTTCTTCTCCTAGGATGCGTAAGCTATGGAATAGGGAAGCATTAGATGAGTTTTTTTCCTATGTGTGGGATTCAACAAGTAGATCCAATTTCCTCATATTTGTTTGTACTATGTATGTATGTAAAGACTCTTTCATCTCATTCAAGTTGTTGTAGATACCGGTTATTTGAAGACCATTTAGATAGCATGTACTGCACCAAAACTTTCTCATTTAGCTTTCATTGATGATCTTCTTATCTTTGTTGAAGCTTTCTAAGGATGAAGTTGAGGTTATCCAACATATTATGAATTTGTTCTATAGAAGCTCGGGGCAAAAAGTGTTAAGGCAGTAAAACTTTTCTTTTCTTTTTTATTATTATAATTAATTATGGTTGCTTGTATTAGTGGGTAAAGTTCTGCTATAATTATGTTTACTTAGTCCAATAGATAATATCTTGTTAGGTATATGATTTTAGGCAAATCTACACACTTAATGATGGTCGAGACATGTATTTTACTAACAACATTTATGGGCTCTATGTATGACTATCATTTTTCATGTATTTTCCTTATATATGAATGAAAAACATGCATGGTATGGTTGTCCATCAAATACGAAATTGCTCTGTTCCCTAATTTTTCCTCTTCTCTGTTTTATGGTTTTGTATGGTTTTTATGTTTTATGCTTCTGTTACCTATTGCATATCTTAACAATGGTATCGAGAGCATTGTTCTTATAGGCTGTGGGTTTGAAAAAAAATTGAGAGGAGAGATTAAACACTTGTGAGCGAGTGATAAAATGGCTTCGGGGAACAATGGTTTATTTGCTGTTCCTCAATTTTTTGGGGAAAACTATGACATATGGATTGTCAAAATGAGATCATGTTTGAAGTCTTTTGGCTTATGGGAGTATGTAGATCAAGACAAACAAGTTCCACCATTAAGGGCTAATCCTAGCTCAAATGAAACAACATGAGGTAGAGACTTTGAAGAAGGAAAAAGCTATCTCATGTTTACATTCAGCTTTGACAGATGATGTTTTTACAAGCATTATGCACCTGGAAACAACAAAACAAATATGGGACGAGTTGAACAAAAGGTATGCCGGTGATGAACGGGTGAGATCCATCAGACTATTGATTCTTAAAAGAGAGTTTGAAATGCTGAAAATGAAGGAAAGTGAGACAACTTTGAAGTAATATCGTGAGAAAAAAAATGCACGTTAGTTAACAAATAATCTAGTTGATGGACTTTAGTCTCATTCCCCTCGACGATTCAAGTACTTGTTGATGTGTCAATCCTTTTGTGAGAGCGAATCCACAAGATTATTTTCAAACCTGATAAAATCAACTGAAATAATATCGTGAGATATCAAATTTCTAATAGACTTGTGTTTTATTTTCAAGTGCCTTCTTTTCTCATTAAAGTTTTTGTTAGTAATTTTAGCAATAGAAACTTTACTATCACAATGTGTTGAGATTGGAGGTATATGTTTATTTAACAAAGGCAAATCACATAATAAATTTCTAAGATATTCAACCTCACTACTAGTAGTATCTAAGGCAATTATTTCACTTTCCATAGTAGAACAAGAAATAATAGTTTACTTTACAAATTTTCAAGCTATTGCACATCTAGCTAAAGTAAAGACATAATCACTAGTAGATTTAGTTTCATCAAAATCAGAAATCCAATTTGCATCACCAAAACCTTTAATTATAAAATGATAACATGCATAGTGAATGCCATAATTAATAGTTCCTTAAAGATATTTAAATACCCTTTTTAGAGCAACCCAATGTGAATGATCAGGATTAAAAGTATGTCTTCCTAATCTACTAACAACATATGCAATGTCAAGTCTAGAATAATTAGACAAATGCAACAAGAAACCAATAGTTTGAGAGTATTTAAGAGGAGAAACACCTTCACCAATATTTTTTTTCCAATTTTATATTAGAATCAAATGGGGTAGAAACATGTTTCACATCAAAATAATTAAACTTTTTAAACAATTTTTCAATATAATGTGATTGCGTCAAAACAATACCACAATAATTCTTTATTAACTTAATGCCTAAAATAACATGAATGGGACCAAGATCCGTCATTTCAAAATTACTAGACAGGAAAGACTTCATATCATGTATAGCATGCAAATTACTATCAAAGATTAAAATATCATCCTCATAGAGACATAAAATAACATATGAATTATCACCAAATTGTTTCACCTAAACACATTTATCACTATTATTAAACTGAAAATAATATGATAAAACAACTTAATCAAATTTATCATGTTATTGTTTAGGTGTCTGATTTAAACCATACAAAGATTTAACGGGCTTACAAACTTTATTTTCCATTCCATGTTCTATAAAACCTTCAAGTTGATTCATGTAAATTTCTTCTTCCAAATCACCATTTAAGAAACTAGTTTTTACATCTATTTAATGAATTTCCAAATTAAAGACATACGCAAAAATAATTAAAAATATAATAGTAGTAACTTTAAAAATAGGAGAATATGTATCAAAAAAATATACACCTTCTACTTGTTTATAACCAATAACAACAAGTGTTGCCTTAAACTTATCTATAGATCCATGTGTTCTTAATTTTTTTCTCTAAAAATCCCATTTACACCCTACACTTTTGCAACCAAGAGGAAGGCTAGTCAAAAACCAAGTTTCATTGACTTTTAGAGAATTCATTTCATCATTAATGACTTCTTTCCAAAAAGGTGCATCAACAAATCTCATGACTTCACTATAAGTTTTAGGATCATTTTTAAGTAAGAAAGAATAAAATTCAGGACCAAAATCTTTAGCTTTTCTAATTCTTTTACTTATTCTAGCTAGGTTCAACATCCTAGTGAACATTACTACTAGAAGGTAAAACAGAATTAGAAGCATCAGAAAAATGTTTAGACAATTTATTCTTCAAAGGAAAATCATTTTCAAAGGAAACAACATTTCTAGATTCCATAATTATATTATTAGAAATTTCAGCAACTTCAAAGTTAATGACAAAAGATATAAGTAGTACTATGCAAAGAATATAAAAAAAAATCAACGGTCTTAGGACCAATTTTCCTTTTCTTATTAATAGGAATATTCACCTTTGCAAGATACCCCCACACTTTGAGATATTTTAAATTTGATTTTCTATTTTTCCAAAGTTCATAAGGGATTTTATAAGGAATTCTATTTAAAATATGACATGCAGTAAACAAAGTTTCTCCCCACAAATTATTAGGAAAATTAGAGCTTATAAGCATAATATTTATCATCTCTAACAGAGTACAATTTTTTCTTTTAACAATTTCATTAGATTGAGGAGCATAGGGTGGAGTAACTTCATGAATATATAATATTATGTGATTCAAAAAATTCACCCGTTTCATTAGAACAATATTCTCCTCCTCTATCAAAGCGAATAGTTTTAATTTTCTTTTTTAATTGATTTTCAACCACTGCTTTATAAACTT